CGAGGAGTTCGAACACAAGGAATCTTGGCCATACCAAGACATCCCTTGGCCCGCAAAGGAAGATCAAGATCCCCAGAATCCTTCCGTCCGAAAAAGCCTTCGAAGGAGTATCCTACTCCTTCGTAGGCTCGGGGGCTACTGTCGGGTATCAGTATCAGGGATACCTAGAAGAAGGAAGCTAATGGCCACAAATGCTAACTCCCTCGGATGGTCAAGAATGCATCTTGGTCTCACCCGGCCCAGAGGGCATGGGCTCCATCTCACCCAACCTCAAGGATATGGGATCCGGGTCACCCGACCCTAAGGGCGTGGGCTCTGTCTCACCCAACCCCTAGGGCAAGAGACCCGTCGCGTCTGGCCCTAAGGGCGTGGGCTCCATCTCGCTCGACCCCTCGGGCGAGAGCCCTATCACGTCTAACCCCAAGGGCACAGACTCCACCTCGTCTGACCCCAAGGGCATGGACTCTGCCTCGCCCGATCCCGAGAGCGTGGGCTCTGTCTCGCCCGACCCTTGAGGGCATGGGCTCCCCCTCTCTCGATGGAGATCCGTACTGCCCCAACCTCTATGGGTCTAAAAGTATGAGTCCGGGGTCAAACTTATGACGCCAGAAGGGGAGCAGGCGTGTCTTGACATGACCTACGGCCACGATGGGCCACGTCTATGGATGCACGTCGCCAATAGCATCGGGTGTGCTGGCGCTATACTGCCTACTCCTCATATGGCCTTAGGCAGAGGCATCAACGAGCCATACCATCCGCTGGGATGGGATGGAGAGCCACGACCGGCTGACGATGCCCGCATACGATGTTAGTGATGAATAGGGTCACGACGTGGAGCTATCCTCGTCGTCATCTATAGGGCCGGTGGGACCCGCATAAAGAAGACGGAAGTCGTTGCAGTCCTAGAAGCTTTCCTCTCCTTGTCTCTTTGTCCCCCTCTCTCTCTATCTCTAATGTAACCTGCATCTTCCCCTTCATCTATAAAAGGGGACGCAGGGCACCCCACGGAGGGGGCCATTCCAAGACACATCTAACATGTCTGAGCGGTGGAAGGCTTAGGCGCTCAGCAATAGACAGGGAACTCAACCCGACCCACTCTTTTCACCAGAGACTTGGGACCTTCTCCCTCTCTCGCCTGTTTATAACCCCTACTACAAGCCAAGTGCTGGTAACACGGGCAATAGCAGACTGGACGTAGAGATGTTCCGCCCAAACCAGTATAAATCCTTGTGTCCTCCGAGCATAGCCATCCGAGTTAGACGCGCAAACTAGAAATTTAATAGCCGGTGATTTGAAACACCGACATGTCTAGTAAGCTCTACCCTTGCTCACAAAGATAAGTTCTGCATGGCCACCTAGACTAGAAGAAATACAAGAGTGGGTGGACAGGTTACATCAATGAATTAGACCAATGTTCCATGGTGTAGCTATTGATGGCTTCACCTCATTTGTTCCTGGAGGAAGTGTCACTGTGGATGAGGAAGAGGAGGAGGATCCACCTGAGGAACTTGATGTGTAGACCCCAGTTAGCATCACTAGCCACAAGAGAGCAAGCAGCACAAGCACCACTGGCTCTAGTCCCAGCAAGAAGTCTAAGAGCTCAGCAGTTAGGAGCATGGACAAGTTCATGATTGAGAACGCCAGGATTCAAGTTTAGAGGAATGTGATGTTCCAGAAATATTTAGAAAACAAGCAACAGGTTGCCTATCAGCTTGTCCAGCAGAAGGAGGTTGCTAGAGCAGAAAAGATTAGGTATGTGCAGCAGTTGGCTAGAGAGTGTGGTGTAGACGAAGGAAACAAGCAGTTGTGGTATGTTGTACACAAGATCACCAAAGATGATGACATCATGGAGTTCTTCATTAGAACATCTACACCTTATGGAAGGCTAGGCTTCATTGAGAACTTTGATGGAGTCAACAACTAGATCCTCTTATCTTAACTATGTCTGTCATTTGAACAATTCATGTCATGTGAACTATGTCTATTATTGTACTTATGCTGTCATTTGAACTAAGTATGTTGTATTTGCACTATGTCATTTGAACTTTGTTTATCATTTGCACTATGTCAGGAGAGTTTGCACTATGTCAGTTGAACTGTGTGATGAATTTCATTTGTGATTGTGATGTGAGCTTGTCATGCATGATCAATTTTTTTTACTAGCATATATAACTGAGATTGTCATGCATTTACGTGTCAGGATGATCATGCAGCGAGGGATGAGGACAATTATGATGGATCAAGTGATAATGATATCTACATAATGCTTCTTGAGGATGATGACAACAATTTTATGTACGGTATGTATCAGTATGCTATTCACATTGATAAATACTGCAATAGGGCTGAGAGAAGGCAACCATTACTAACTGGACTGGAATGGGTAGAGAGAAAGCTAGGAGATAGAAACAACAGCTACAAACATGTTTAGAATGAGCCCAATTGTATTCCATCGACTCCATGATGTGCTGGTTGAGTCATATGGCCTAAAGTCTTGTACCAAGAGTACCTCTGTTGAGGCTTTAGGAATGTTCCTTTGGATGCTTGGAGCACCACGGTTAGTTAGGCAAGCTGATGATAGATTTAAGAGATCACTAGTTACAGTTCACATCAACTTTGAGAAAGTTTTGCAATGTGTGGTTAAGCTAGCTTGAGACATCATTAAGCCAATAGATCTAGACTTCAGAACAATTCATCCTAGATTGAGAAACCCTAGGTTCCATCCCTTCTTCAATAATTGTATAGAAGCAATAGATGGCACTCACATACCATGTGTGGTGCCAAGAGATAGGCTGGTTCAGCACATGTGCCGCAAGGGCATGACAACACAAAATGTGATGACTGTTTGTGACTTTGACATGAGGTTCACATTTGTTCTTGCTGGATGGCCTGGTTTAGTACATGACATGAGAGTGTTCAATGATGCTATGACCAAGTATAGCCATGTCTTTTCACATCCACCCACAGGTAAACACCTTGCTTCTGTTGCATTTGCAGCTTCTAGTTGAACTAGTTGAATCTTACAAAACTGATCCATTGTGTAGGAAAATTTTACCTGGTGGACTCCGGCTACCCAAATCGTCTGGGTTACCTTGCGCCTTACAAGGGAACCAAGTACCATCTTCCGGAGTATCGAGAAGGCCTGCAGCCACAAGGTAAAAAAAAGATCTTCAACTACGCACATTCATCTCTTAGAAATATCATTAAGATGTCGTTTGGAGTTTTGAAGATGAAGTGGAGGATTTTGTTGTAAATGTCAAGTTATGCACCTCATAAGCAAACCCAAATTATTGTTGTATGCATGGCACTACATAACTTCAATAGACCGAGTGGAATAGTGGACAGAGATTTTGATCGTTGTGACCGTGATGAGAACTATGTTCCACCTGAAGCATCGTCCTCTCAACCACGTACTAGTCAAACACCAGCAAGGGAGGAATCTGCAATGATGAATGCTTTCCGTGACTCGATTGCCCTTGGTTTGTTAAATAGATCGTGACAATTCGAATGTGAGCTTGAAATGTAACGTGTGTTTTTAATTTGTAAGGTTGAGGACAATTGAATTGTGTACTTAAACTATTCAATAATTATGAAATAAAGTGTAATTTTTGATGGTTTCTAAACAATGCCGGACATGACATCAAAGGAGAGCTGCAGCGAGGGCGAGCAACACCAGGGCGAGCAGCAAGGGTGACCAGCTCTTGCATGCAACTTGCCTGGCTGCGCATGCATAACATTAATGAAGCAAATTAATCATTAAATGAGGACAAATCAGTCTTCTATTGATATATTGCTAAAGTTTTGCTATGGATAAAAACACCTCGATCTAAAGTCAGAATGGTAAAATTTTAGCACCATGCCAAAAGGCCCTAATTAAAAGAAATGCAACTGACATCAACTACTCCAGGTGTAGCTAAGCTTCATTTGGTTGGACCTAGTAGCACCGCAATCCAGTAGGAGGCTAGTTTAAGCAGCATTATTCAGAGCCAACGTGCTGTGCAAAGTCAACAATGCTAGTTTGTGCGAGTTCAAACTGCAAGCAGCACCAGCACGTATCATAGAATTGTCTGGTTCATCGACAGCAACCCCCGTCTCAAAAAAAAATACAATTCTAACACAATATCACATTTTAGTGTCTTAACTTTGACCAATTATAAATAAAAAAATATCTATATTTATGATACTAAATAAATACCATCAGATTAATTACGAAATGTATTTTTATAATAAATTAATTTAAATACATAACTGTGAATATTATTCACTAAAAACTCAATCAAACATGAACTACTTTTTGTGGCACGTAACCCGTAGTTACGTTCTTTTAAAGACCAAGATAGCAGTAGAAGCGGGTGGCAAGTGAAATCGTGCCGTCGTTGACATTGCGATGGTTCCGAATAAAAATTCTTGCAAACCACTATTTTGTTGTTACCAATTGCAAACTCTCCGTGTTGCACTGTTGATAATTAATTTTGACACATTGATAAAAGTCTTTTTTGACACGATCGTACCTTTCTGCAATCATGACAAGTTAAACCTTTTTTTTTATAAGAGAAAGGAATAACCAAACTCAACTTAACGATCCGAATCTTACCTGACTTTTTTTCGAGAAACGAGTCTGACCTGACTTTCGAGTTTTGACCTGGCGTGTTCATAAAGAACCTTAAGAACTGGGCCTCAAATTGAGTGTTTTTTAGATTAAACTGGGCCTCAAATTAAGTTAGGGTTAGTCCCATAACGGCCCAACACATACATGGCCCATGGACGCAGTCACCCAGGCAGAGGCCCAGTCGCCAGACTCTCACTCTAGTCTACGGTCTACGCTCCCCACCCCACTGCTTGCTTAATTCAAATTTCTCCGCAACGGAAAAACATCTCGGCCTCCCTACTCCGCTTTCCCCAATCCACCCCCTTCCGACGAGCGGCGAATCCGCCCCAGAACCTCGCGATTTCCCCCAAACCACTCATCGGATCAGAGCGTCGCGGGCGTCGCCGGGGGCATGGCGCAGACGCCGAACCCCAGCAGGAGGTCGTGGGTCGGCCCGGCGCCGATGCCATTCCTCACGCCGCGGCCGGAGCGGCGGCACCTTGAGATGAGGTGGGCGGACGGAGTGTCCCAGAGCGCTGCTCGCCGTAGCGGCGTCGGCGCCGTTGCCGGCAACGGTGGAGGCGGGGATGGATGCGAGAGGGATCGGGAGGTGAACGTTCAGGTCGTGCTCCGGTGCAGGTGAGAATTGTCTGTCTCCTAAAAATTTCTGGCTCCGACACTGTCCATATGAGTTTATGAATTGTGGTTCAGTGGCAAATTTGTGAAGCCCAACGTTTACACTGGCAAGAATCCAATTTTAAATAATATTTCATCACAACCGAATCATTTAAAAAAATAATTAGGATTGTAGCATCGGGATACTATGAAATTCGATGTAGGATCGTAAGGAGGCTTCAGTTTGTATTGATATACTATTAAATTTAGGATTTAGGATACAAGGTGGAATTGATATCGTTTTGGTTTGGTAGGATCATAGTATCGTAAGATTCTACAATACGGATCGGGATCCTGTCAGGGACAAACTTGAAGAGTAGCCGGTGCTTCATTGCTGCTATGAGAAAACCTTTTGCTACCATTGCGTAATTGCGCCTGACTGTGGCTACCACTGCTGGCACATTCGTCTGTCTTGTAGGCCACTGAGCGAGGAGGAGCAGAGAGCGAATGTGCAGAGCGCCATCTCTTGTAATGACCTGAAGAGGGAGGTCACAGTTCTGCACAGCCTCTTCAAGCAAGTAGACAAGACGTTTACCTTCGACAAGGTAAAGCCTCTTTGGACCTGTGTGCGTGCGCGAGCGTGTTTATCTTTTTCTATATGATTGTAGAGATTTAACTACTGGTTCTAAAAGATGTTGTATTGTGATTCATATTGCTTACCACCATTGTTCTTGGATATGTGGTTGTTGTTTTGTCCTAGGTATTTGGACCAAAATCTCAGCAAAGGTCGATATATGACCATGCTGTTGCACCAATAGTGACTGATGTCCTCGAAGGCTATAACTGCACTGTCTTCGCCTTTGGGCAGACTGGAACCGGAAAGACATATACCATGGAGGGAGAGATGAGACTGAAGGTACCTTGAATATATGGACATCATCTATGATGAAGACAGGAAGTTCCTTGTAACTGTTGAACAATTTGTCTTACCTAATATGTTAGGTCAGTGAACTACCAGATACTGCCGGTGTCATCCCTAGAGCAGTGCGCCATATATTTGACATGCTTGAAGCACGGAAGGCTGATTATAGCATGAAGGTAACCTTCTTAGAGCTCTATAATGAAGATATAACAGACCTATTATCTTTGGAGGGCCAAAGCAGATTCCCTGAAGGTAGACAAAAGAGGCCTATAACTCTTATGGAAGATGGCAAAGGTGGCGCAGTCATAAGAGGACTTGAAGAGATTGTTGTCTACAGTCCTAGTGAAATATACAGACTTTTGGAACATGGGTCAGCTAGGAGACGCACTGCTGACACTGCACTAAATAAGCAAAGCAGGTTCTTGATCATTCTGGTTCTTTCTTATTTTGGTACAGAGATCGTTGTCTGTCGGGGGCTAAGCACTCTGCATTCTGTTCTTGCAGCCGATCACATGCTGTTTTTTCTATAAACATCCATGTCAAAGAAACAACGGTAGGAAATGAGGAGCTCATGAAGTATGGGAGGTTGAACCTTGTAGACTTGGCAGGGTCAGAGAATATTGCTCGATCAGGGGCAAGAGAGGTACTTTTTTTATATTGCCATTTGCTACCTATTAGCAATAGCATTACCTGTTAGTTTGTTTACCCTATCTTCTCCAGTTGGGTAATTTGGTTTAATCGATGTATCCATCTTGTCTACTTTTATTGAATCATTTGTTCATGGTGCATCATGTGTAGAAAATGGTGGAAGTACATGACTATATCTTGTTGTACGTATATATATTATCATAAAGATAGCTATATGGAATAATGAAATATTAACTAAATACCATTACAGACTGGCATAAGCAGTCATACTCTGCAAGGATTATTGGGGGGTTCTCAGCTAATTGTCAACAACACATTGGCTGATGTTTCCCAACTCGGTGATCATTGCGATGTTCAGGGGTTATGGGGCACAAGGCCATTGAAGAAATCAATTCAGTTCAGTAATAGTACTGCATATTCTAGGAGTAGCCATCTGTAGTTAGAACCTTATGTTACCCATGAAATGGAGCATTTCCTTTTTTTCTAGTGATCAAGATCTTTGTTTATCATAAGCTGAATAAAATTATCTGTATATATATTACAACAACAACAACAACAACATAGCCTTTCAGTCTCAAGCCAGTTGGGGTAGGCTAGAGTTGAAACCTACCAAGAGCCCCAAGCCATTGTTCAGGCACTTCAATAGCTGCTTTCCAAGTACTCCTATTCAAACATAAATCTTTAGGTATATCCTAAGCTTTCAAATCTCTTTTTATTGTCTCTCCCATGTCAATTTCGGTCTTCCTCTACCTCTACTCATATTGTTAGCTTGGCTTAGGACTCCACAATGCACTGGTGCCTCTGGAGGTCTCCTTTGGACATGGTCAAACCACCTCAACCGATGTTGGACAAGCTTTTCTTCAATTGGTGCTACCTCTAGGCGATCACGTATATCATCGTTCCGAACTCGGTCCATTCTTGTGTGACTGCAAATCCATCGCAACATACGTATTTCTGGAACACTCAGTTGTTGAACATGTCAAATCTTTGTAGGTCAACAATCTGTTCCATACAACATAGCCGGTCTAATCGTCGTTCTATAGAACTTGTCTTTTAGTTTTTGTGGTACCCTCTTGTCACAGAGAATGCTAGAAGCTTGTCGCCACTTGATCTACCCTGCTTTGATTCTATGGCTAACGTTCGCATCAATATCTCCATCCCTCTGTAGCATCGATCCCAGACGCCGAAAGGTATCCTTCTTAGACACTACTTGACTTTCCAAACTCACATCTCCCTCCTCATGTACAACTCCGCCAAAGTCGCATCTCATGTATTCGGTTTTAGTTTTGCTTAATCTCAAACCGTTAGACTCAATGGTCTGTCGTCATAACTCTAGTTTCCTATTTACTCCCGCCTGACTTTCGTACACTAACACTACATCATCAGCGAACAACATACACCAAGGGATATCCCCTTTTATATTCCTGGTAACCTCATCCATTACCAAGGCAAAGAGATACGGGCTTAAGGCTGACCCTTGATGGAGTTCAATTTTAATCGGAAAGTAATCTGTGTTACCATCGTTTGTTCGAACACTAGTCACAATATTGTTGTACATGTCCTTGATGAGGGTCACGTCCTTTGATGGGACTTTATGTTTGTTTAAAGACCACCACATAACATTTCTTGGTATCTTGTCATAAGCTTTCTTCAAGTCAATGAAAACCAAGTGGAGGTCCTTCTTCTTCTCTCTAAACCGCTCCATAACCTGTCTTATTAAGAAGATTGCTTCTGTGGTTGACCTTTCGGGCATGAAAACAAATTGGTTCGTTGATATCTGCGTCGTTCCTCGCAAGCGCTGCTCGATGACTCTCTCCCATAACTTCATAGTGTGGCTCATCAACTTAATTCCCCGATAAATAGTACAACTTTGGATATATCTCTTATTCTCATAGATTGGTACCAATATGCTTCTTCTTCACTCCTCAAGCATCTTGTTCGATCAATATATATTGTTGAACATCTTGGTTAGCCATACTATAGCTATATGCCCGAGACATCTCCGCACCTTGATTGGGATACCATCAGGGCCCATCGTTTTGCCCCCTTTCATCCTTTTCAAGGCTTCTCTGACCTTCGATTCTTGAATTCTCTGCACAAAGCGTATGTTAGTGTCATCAAATGAGTCGTCCAGCTGAACAGTAGTGTTCTCGTTCTCACCATTGAACAACAACAACAACAAAGCCTTTAAGTCCCAAATAAATTGGGGTAGGCTAGAGTTGAAACCCAGCAGAAGCAATCAAGGTCCAGGCACGTGAATACCTGTTTTCCAAGCACTCATATCTAAGGCTAAGTCTTTGGGTATATTCCATCCTTTCAAGTCTTCTTTTATTGTCTCCACCCAAGTCAACTTCGGTCTTCCTCTGCCTCTCTTCACATTACTATCCTGACTTAGGATTCCACTACGTACCGGTGTCTCTGGAGGTCTCCGTTGGACATGTCCAAACCATCTCAACCGGTGTTGGACAAGCTTTTCTTTAATTGGTGCTACCCCTAATCTATCACGTATATCATCATTCTGAACTCGATCCCTTCTTATATGACTGTAAATCCAACGCAACATACGCATTTCCGTGACACTTATCTGTTGAACATGTTGTCTTTTCGTAGGCCAACATTCTGCACCATACAATATAGCAGGTCTAATCGTCGTCCTATAAAACTTGCCTTTTAGCTTCTGTGGTACCCTTTTATCACATAGGACACCAGATGTTTGGCGCCACTTCATTCACCATGCTTTGATTCTATGGCTAACATCTTCATCAATATCCCCGTCTATTTGTAGCATTGATCCTAAATATCGAAAGGTATCCTTCCTAAGCACTACTTGACCTTCCAAACCAATATCTTTCTCCTCCCGAGTAGTAGTGCCGAAGTCACATCTCATATACTCAGTTTTAGTTCTACTGAGTCTAAAACGTTTGGACTCTAAAGTCTCCCGCCATAACTCCAGTTTCTGATTCACTCATGTCCGGCTTTCATCAACTAGCACTACATCGTCCGCGAAAAGCATACACCAAGGGATGTCCTCTTATATGTCCCTTGTGACCTCATCCATCACTAAGGCAAACAGATAAGGGCTCAAAGCTGACCCTTGATGTGGTCCTATCCTAATCGGGAAGTCATCCGTGTCTCCATCACTTGTTCGAATACTAGTCACAACATTGTTGTACATATCCTTAATAAGCCCGACGTATTTCGTTAGGACTTATGTTTGTCCAAAGTCCACCACATAACATTCCTTGGTATTTTATTATAAGCTTTCTCCAAATCAATAAAAACCATGTGTAGGTCATTTTTCTTCTCTCTATACCGCTCCATAACTTGTCTTATTAAAAAAATGGCTTCTATGGTTGACCTTCCGGGCATGAAACCAAATTGGTTTATAGAGATCCGCGTTATTGCTCTCAAACGATGCTCAATAACTCTTTCATATAGCTTCATAGTATGGCTCATCAACTTAATTCTCATGTAATTAGTAAAACTTTAAATATCCCCATTATTCTTGTAGATCGGTACCAATATATTTCTCCTCCACTCGTCAGGCATCTTGTTCGATCGAAAAATATGGTTGAACAGCTTGGTTAGCCATACTATAGCTATGTCCCCGAGGCATCTCCACACCTCTATTGGGATACCATCCGGTCCCATCGCTTTACCTCCTTTCATCCTTTTCAACGTCTCTCTGACATCAGATTCTTAGATTCTCCGCACAAAGCGTCTATTGGTGTCATCAAAAGAGTCATCCAACTGAAATGTTTTATCCGTATTCTCACTATTGAACAATTTGTCAAAATACTCTTGCCATCGATGTCGGATCTCATTCTCCTTCACCAAGAGATTCTCCCTTTCATCCTTAATGCACTTAACTTGGTTGAAGTCCCTTGTCTTTCTCTCACGAACCCTAGCCATCGTATAAATGTCATTCTCTCCTTCCTTCGTACTCAAATGTTGGTAAAGATCCTCGTATGCTCTACCCTTTGCCACACTTACAGCTCGCTTTTTAGTCTTCTTTGTCACCTTATACTTTTCTATGTTGTCCACACTTCTGTCATGATACAAGCATTTATAGTATTCTTTCTTCTCTTTAATAGCCCTTTGGACTTCTCTCATTCCACCACCAAGTATCTTTAGCCTCGCCTCCACTTTCTTTGGTTACTCCACACACCTATGAAGCCACCTTCCGAATGTTGGTTGCCATCTTCTCCCACATGTTGTTTATATCATCTTCTTTCTTCCAAGAGCCCTCTTTGATAACACTTTCCCTGAATATCTCTGACGTCTCTCCTTTCAGTTTCCACCACTTTGTTCTTTCAATCTTAGCTTGTTTATCCCTACGGGCACGCACCTGAAAACAAAAGTTTGCCACCAAAAGCTTATGTTGAGAAACAACACACTCCCCTGCTATCACCTTGCAACCCAAGTATGCTCGTTTGTCCTTTCTTCTTGCGAGGACAAAGTCAATCTGGCTAGAGTGTTGTCCGCTACTGATGGTCACTAGATGAGATTCTCTTTTTCTAAAGAAAGTATTGGCTATCATCAGGACAAAAGCTACCGCGAAGTCCAGAACTTCCTCCCCCTCCTGATTCCTACTACCATACCCAAAACCTTCATGAACTGCCTCGAAACCTGCGCTTGTAGTACCTACATGCCCATTAAGATCTCCTCCTATAAAAAGCTTCTCACTACTAGGTACAGCTCTAATCAGGCCATCTAAGTCTTTCCAGAACTGTCTCTTAGCACTTTCGTCGAGGCCTACTTGAGGGGCATACGCACTAATTACGTTCAAGACCATATCACCAACAACAAGCTTGATTAAGATAATCCTATCTCCTTGTCTTCTCATTCCCACTACACCATTCTTGAGGCTCTTATCAATCAAAACTCCTACTATATTTCTATTCGCGACTGTACCTGTGTACCAAAGCTTGAAACCTGTATTGTCCACCTCCATCGCCTTCTAACTCTTCCATTTAGTCTATTGAATGCATAATATATTTACACGTCTCCTAGTCGTGGTATCAACTAATTCTCTTAACTTACCTGTAAGCGACCCTACATTCCAACTACCTAAACGGATCCTAGTTGATTCGACTAGGTTCCTTACCCATCGCACCCGTTGACTCAGATGTGAAGACCCTTGCTCATTTTTCACTACACCGGGCGCCGATGTAGCGCGCCACTAAGGAAGCAACGATCCGATCCTTGCTCACTTGACACCATGTCCAGATCGCGACACGGCACGTCACCAAGGGGGTGCCGACCCGGCCCTTGCCCATTTAACACCATACCCGGGTTCCAATATGGCGCGTCGCTAAGAGGGTTACGCCCCAACGGTTTTCTTTTGGGTTTCATCTCCATTAGAATGACTAGATTTAACGTTGGCTCGCTACGTCTATCATAACCCTCCTTTACCAGGGCTTGAGACCTGCTATGTTTAGACAACATAGGCAGAGTTGTTCTCACCATTGAATAATTTATCAAAATACTCTTGCCATCTATGACTGATCTCATCCTCCTTCACCAAGAGCTGCTCCCTCTCATCCTTTATGCACTTGACTTGGTTGAAGTCCCTTGTCTTCCTATCGTGAGCCATAGCCATCGTATAAATGTCATTCTCTCCTTCCTTCGTACTCAAACATCGGTAAAGGTTCTCATAGGCCCGCCCCTTTGCCTCACTCACCGCTCGTTTTGCAGTCTTCTTTGCCACCTTGTACTTCTCTATGTTGTTTGCACACCTGTCATGATACAAGCGCTTATAGCACTCCTTCTTTTCCTTAATAGCCTTTTGCACATCTTTATTCCACCATCAAGTGTCTTTCGAGTCGCATCCGCTCCCTTTGGTCACTCCAAGCACCTCTGAAGCAACCTTTCGAACGTATGTTGCCATCTTCTCCCACATGCTGTTTGCATCGCCTTCATCATTCCAAGAGCCCTCTTCAATGACATTTTTCTTAAAGACCTTTGATGCCTCCTCTTCTAATTTCCACCACTTCGTTCTTGCAACCCTAGCTTGTTTGTTTCCATGAGCTTGCACCAGAAAGCGGAAGTCAGCCACCACCAGCTTGTGTTGAACGACCACACATTCTCCAGGTATCACCTTACAGTCCACGCATGTTCGTTTATCCCTCCTTGTAAGGACAAAGTCGATTTGACTAGAGTACTGACCGCTACTAAAGTTCATTAAATGGGACTGTCTCTTACGGAAGAAAGTGTTAGCTATCATCAGATTAAAAGCTATGGCGGAGTCTAAGACTTCCTCTCCCTCCTGGTTTCTACTACCATATCCGAAACCCCTATGAACCGTCTCAAAACCTGCACTTGATCTACCTATATGGCCAGATCACCTCCTATAAAGAGCTTATCGCTACTAGGGACAGCTCTAACCAAGCGATCTAAGTCTTCTCAGAAAAGCCGCTTAGCACTCTCATCATGACCTACTGGGGGGCATACGCACTAATTACGTTTAAGACCATATCACTAATGACAAGTTTAACTAAGATGATCCTATCCCCTTGCCTTCTCACCTCCACCACACCATCCTTGAGGCTCTTATCAATTAAAACTCCTACTTCATTTTTATTTGAAGTTGTCCCTGTGTACCAGAGCTTGAAGCCGGTATTGTCCACCTCCTTCGCCTTCTGCCCCTTCCATTTAGTCTCTTGGACGCATAAAATATTTACACGCCTCCTAACCGCTGTGTCCACTAACTCTCTTAACTTAGCTGTAAGGGACCCTACATTCCAGCTATTTAAACGGATCCTAATTGGCTCGACTAGCTTCCTTACCCTTCGCACCCGCCGAGGCGGGTGTGAAGACAATTGCTCATTTTGCACCACACCCGGGCACCGATGTGGCGCGCCACTAAGGATGCGATGACCCGATCCTTGCTCACTTGACACCGTGTCCACATCGCGACACGGCGCGTCACGGGGGTGACGGCCCGGCCCTTGCTCATTTAACACCATACCCGGGTTCTGACATGGCGCGTCGCTAAGAGGGTTACGCCCCAACTGGAAAAAAATATTGATCCGCAAAGCTCGAACACACGATGTCATGAGTCCCAGAGAGCAGCCATACCACTGAGCTAACTCCACGTTTTTGTATGCTCTTTCGGCATGACAGTCCTGTTTGAAGTCATGATTTTGCATGCTGATAGGGTAGAGCAAGAGAAGCTGGAGAGATGAATAAGAGCCTATTAACTCTGGGACGTGTCATCACTGCGCTTGTGGAGCATTCAGTTCATGTGCCATACAGGTTATACACTGTACTTAGTTTTGATATGTAAGCTCATGGGCAGTTCGTTTTGTGCACGGGCAGTAATGCATACTCATATACTTTTATCAGGGATAGTAAACTCACCAGACTGCTAAGAGAATCATTAGGAGGCAAAGCCAAAACATGCATCATAGCAACAGTGTCTCCATCTGTCCATTTCCTGGAGGAAACACTGGTCACACTTGATTATGCTTCTCAAGCTAAAAGCATAAGAAACAAGCCGGAGGTGAAACTTCTATTCATGCATGGGTTTGAAACTTTCAATTTTCTCAAAACGCTTGTTAGAAACTTAACAACTATTGCAGGCAAATAAAAAAACATGCGAATCTGTTATGCTCAAGGACCTCTACCAAGAAATGGAAAGAATGAAGCAAGGTTCTCTGTTTCTCTCTATATTTTGCTGCATTGCTGACATTAGCATAGTATCTCATAAGTATATCGTCACTTATCAGATGTCAAAGCTGCAAGGGAAAAGAATGGAATCTACATCCCTCATGAAAGGTTCGTCCTAGACGAGGCAGAAAGAAAGGTATAAGTACGAGTGTACAACACCTCCATCACCAAAACCTTCAGAATTTCATTAAATATAGTTCTTATGCGACTTCTGTTTATTGATTTTTACTATTCTTAATCCGTTAATCGCATTGACTATTTATTGCAGAAAATGAAGGAAAAATTAGAAAATTTGGAGCTCACTCTTGAAAAGCAGAACAAAGTATATGCATATCCCCAAATCTGATTTAGCTGTATTTTTTTCAATAATTTCAAAGTTGAAGGGCGGGCCTGGTGCAAGCAGTAGAGTCTTACCGCCTGTGACCGGAAGGTCCCGGGTTCGAGTCGCGGTCTCCTCGCATTGTACAGGCGAGGGTAAGGCTTGCCACTGACACCCTTCCCAGACCCCGCACAGAGCGGGAGCTCTCTGCACTGGGTACGCCCTTCAAAGTTGAACTTACTCTTATACTTCTGATGATCTGGTAGGAAGTTGGAAAATTCAAAGGCTTGTACCAAGCAGAGCAGGAATGCCTCTTGGACTTGGAAAGTCAGAACAAAGATTTGAAGGTAAAGCACTTTGGATAACTTTCTTTTCATATTTTTTCTGAATAACACATACTTCCTTTTCATTTATTTGGATTTATTAGGGTCCTCACATTTTGTACATATCCTTATTTAGGTAAATCTTGAAACCTGGAAGAGAAAGTTTCTAGATCTTCAAGAAGTTCATTGCAGAGCTAACACATCGCTAAGGGAGAAGGACTTCATTATCTCAGATTTACTTCATTCTGGTATTTTTTTATCATAAGTAACTAAAGTAATTTCTAACTCAAAGAGTTTAATATATGTAAAACTCTTCCATCCATGGTCAATTGTTTTGCTGTTATCCATTATATTGTATAGAACACTTAATTCTGGAACGTGCAAAGGATTTGCGCAATACCTTGGAGAATGCATCCGGAGATACCACTGTACTTCTGAGTAAACTAGGTAATATATCTACTATGACTTGATTTAATCCAGTTTATCTTTCCTTCTACTGACTATGCATGTCATTCACAATTATTTATAGAAAGGCAATCAAAAACTGAAACGGAAAACAAAGGCTTGCTATCTGGTTTTCGGGCTGAATTGGATCATAGTCTTGGAGCTCTACATGCTACAGTCATTGGATCGGTTTGTGAACAGAGTAAAATTTTGGAGTCTATGAATGAACAAACAAAGCTATACTTTTCAGCCAGAAATGAGGTGCCGCTCGCCCACTCTTGAAATGCTATACTTCTATTATTGCTATCCCTACTAGCACACTAAAATAGCTACAACATACAATTGCTTCCAGTCGGAAAACCAATTGGAGAGAAGAATTGCAAGAGTCAAAGATATGTATGTCTCTGGGGTCCAATGCATGAAGGAGCTCGCTCTTACCATGAGACAGCAATCTATCATAGATTCCGAGCAGATGAGGCAGAACATATCTACTAATGCAATTGCTGTTGACAATGTATGGAATAACAGAAACTTTTGTTTGAATACAATCTAATGCAGAAAAACAGAGTGTTGAGTGCAATCTAATTATTCTCTGTATATGAACACTGCAGTTTCTAGCAATGATGGTTTCAGAAGCTGAACAAGTTCTAAACGATGTTCTGAAATCTACTTCGGAGCTCAAGGAACTATTAGCCTTTTCTACAAAACTACAAAACTCTGTATGTCTCCTTGATTTTGTTAGTTCATGTGCCTGTATGGAACATATTTAGCTAGACGCGTCAACTCACTCGTGTGATTTCTTTTAAAGGGATTGAAAAGGAGTCTTACTTCTGCACAAGACATGTCAAAGACATCAATTGATTTCTTTAAAGATATCAGTATACATGTGTCTCGGCTCATCACTCTTATGGAACAGAATCAAATGGAAAGGTCCTCCAAGCTTGTTAAATTTGAGAATGAGTTTAAGGTAGTTGATTTTAATATATGTGCTATACATTTCGTTTATGAACAAACTCTCTGATGGTTCGCCACTTTTTGACAGGAAACTTGTGTTAAAGACGAGCAAGCTGCTCTGAATAAGATTGCTGCAATTTTATCAGAGTTGACTGCCAAGAAAACTACAATGGTCAGATTATATATTGCATGAGCAAATAAAATGGTCTTAGTATGACTTCAGCTTTAACTGATGTATCTTTTAGCAGGTTTCATCATATATGGGACAGCTGAATGAGAGATACTGTCAAGAGCAGAAGCACCAGAAATTGGAGATGTCCAACCTACAACAGGTTTCAGATAATGGCAAAAATGCGTGTGTGGCTCATGTTGGAGTTATAGAGAGCCAGTTCCACGAGGATATGTCATCGCATGCTAAATTAAATGATCAAATGGAAGGCATCTTGCAGCAATGGTACCGATCTCACTTTACCTCAAACAACGTGCAGTTTGAATCAGCCGTTCATTCTTGAAGTACTTCTATTTCCATGATTTGTTTATGCTTAAGAGGCACTGTCCATTGCAGCTTGAAGAAAGGTAGCCATTCTGTATCTTACTGGTCACATGCACAATCATCTTTGCATGATCTTGGTAAGAGCTCAATCATGGAGGCTGACGATTTTATCGAGTAAGTTGTAATCATGTTTAGTAAAGTTATTATCATTGTTGATACTCTGAGCAGGGCTTCCAAGATGTCTTATCCGTTTCTTGTATGCAGGGAAAGGAGAAACAAAAATGAAAATATGTTCCAGGAAAGGCTTCTGCTTTCTTCACAGAATGATGCAGAGTTTCATGCCATTACATCTGATGTGTTGACTGCTTCCAAGAGTACGTATTTAACTTTGTGATCAATTTATTTTCTAAAAGAATGCATTTTCCTTATGTTTTCTTTGCTCATTTCCAGATTCCCTCTTACTGGATCATGAAACTAGCAAGATGATAGAAACCAACTCCACCACTTTCTCGAGCCATCAGGAATTCCTGAATGAAAAACACGGTGAAGGCGCAGAATCTATAAGAAACCTGACGAGTAACTGTCTTGAGAAGGACTACATGGTAAGCTCCGTGCATCTGTTTAGACTAGAAATGAAAAGGCAAAGTGTAAGGATATATAAGATAATACTACAAATTTTAGCTAAACAACACTGTACTAATGTTGTCTGGCTGTAAAGTGGCTATTTCCTCATTGCAACAGAATTATATCACCTTTATGTGCATGCTTAAGTGATGAAGTGAATATATTCAATGTAAACCACCTTTGTGTCACTATCATTTGATTATTTGTTATATCCATTGACCTAGCTATTGTTCACCCATCAGGCTAATAGTCCGGTTCGAAACCATCCAAGGGAACTACTGACCAGTGCAAACAGCTTGGAATCAATTGACAAACTAAGAGCTTCTCTGCCAGATCTGGTGGCAAAGTTCAGGTTCGAGAACAAGTTGGATGAAATGGACAAGGGGAAGCAATGCTCCGATCAAAGGACACGCACTCCAAGAAGTCCTCTAACGCCTGTCAATCAGTGAAGAATGTGTCAAATTCTGGGATGCTCAAACGTTGTAAAGACGGCAAGATATCTTGCCGATCTGTCACCACCTTAATTTAGTGTGCTCAGATTTTAGGATGCTGCATGCAAAGATTCTGATTATTTTTAGTTAAGACGGCCAAAAAAAAAATCGTTTTCTCTTTGTACTATGTAAAATCAACTTAATATTCTCAGTGTTGTGCTTTCCATTTCTGATCAATCCTGTGAGGAAAGTAGCACGAAATGTTGAATTTATTTCTCATTCCTGAATGTGCACATGGTGAGTCCAAAACCATAATAAGTATTAAAAGATTTGCTAACATGGTATGTATCTCGAGAATCCACCTGTTACTTTTGTACCGTGCTTTCCATTTTCTAACGCGAAATGTTGCAGTACTGAGCCCTTCCGTTGGTTCAGGCTATCTGGGCAGATGATCACATGAGGAAATCACAGGGAAGAGAATGATATGCAGAACGGCTCATAAATCATCTTGGGAAAGAGAAGGGTGAGGGAAAGGATAAGATGCAGGAAAACACAGAGGAGCAGGGTCTCGTGAGGGAAGATAACGTTTCATCGATCAGCGATGCAGAGGTCTGTTCCTCTTTTCACTTGTTTCAGCATTTTTCCTCTATTTCTCTTGAGAAATAAAAACTGCTTTCTGTGCACTCTGTTCTTCAAAATCGTGTTATGAACTGTTAGAGATGCAACCTAGATATATTATACGTTGCTTGGCGGTTCCGCAGTTGGCAACAATATTTCGGATATGATGATTGTTTCTAGATGTCTGCTCTTCGTAGAGGCATTGTGTATCTTTTGTAGTGTTGTACAATTTATCTAGTTAGATCAATGGATGTATCTTTGGCTAACTCTAACTGCAAACTTTTTTAGTGGTATGTTACCATATTGTCGAAATTACTAATGGATTTAGGGTTCTAAGAAACGTACGAATTTGACATTTGCAAAAGTATATCTTGCACATGACCACACGAGTCTAACAAAATGTTCATGCTACTAACATTACTGCAATTAAATATAGCAATGCCATTAGAAGGATTTTAATCTACTAAATAGCTTTGCCCTTGCTCGTTCTGTTGGCAGGAGCGCAGAGTTTTGGCGGAAGAGCTTGGCTGGGCCAGACTGGAGCGGCAAAAAATCCTCGCCCTGTCTGCGGAGGCTGATGATGCAATCTGGCATCTGGTCTCACTTGCACGGAGGAGGATGCAAGAAAGGGACGAGGCCAGGAACCAAGCGAGGATGCTGCTCGCGGACCTCCAGGCAAGAAACGCCCGGGTGATGGCGCTTCCTGGAACATCGTGCTCCAGAGTTGCACGGCCTGATGCGTTCGCCGCCACCGGCTACGAGCACAACCAGGCCCTTGCTCCTGCCGCGTTCAGGCCTCTGGGAAGTAGCAGTACGATGATGCTGGGGCAGCGTGCCCGTGCAGGAACTGGCTACTGCGCTGCGTCGTCCAGCGGCTTCGGCCACAGGAGCATCGGTTCGTCTCTGGACGCCTACGCTGTTCTGCCGTCTCTACTTGGCTTCGCTTCCTCGAGCCAGGATCACTTCGATCCTGACATGTTCCTGGTCGACGTCGCGGAATCGCCGCAAGATGTCGTTCCGGTTCCGGCCACTGCAGAGTCCAGCCAGGGGAGAAGCTCCGGCTCCGGCACGTATGGTCATATTTAGGCGGGCAGAAGGCCTTGCAGTGGAAAAGTGAATCATCAGCTCAAGCTGCTGCAAGTCGTGTCACGGGCCATGGTCATGCTCCCTAGATCCTAGGCCGGTGCCCTGTTAGTTGCTCGCAGGATCAAAAGTTTGAACAAGAGGTTATTACTACTTGCACGGTAAAACTTATAAGTTTGTTCATGTGTTGTGGATTTTTTTTATGGGTCAGGGGGGGGGAGGGGGGGCGAGGGGGGGCCAGAATTCCCTACATGAATATATTGCAATGGAGTGGTAATGTAAATTACCGCTTAAATAGGATACAACAGAGTACGCACACAACACAACAACAACAACAACACACGCGAGACAATGTGTTGTGGATTTGAATGGCGTCTAGTTTTTTTTTTCACTACAGCCTTTAAACGATCATCAGGTTAAACCTTTTTCACCTATCCAAGGGTTTCAGGGACCAACCTCCTTGCTGGCCTCCTGAACAGACTGCAACTGAGTATAGGACAGGATGTTTGTTTTTTCAGAGTAGAAAACTTTGTGCCGTGTTCAGAGTTCGGATCAGAATCTGGGTACGAAGTTGGACGGTTCCAAAGCTGGGCGGTTGCATGACCGGATACGCGTGGCGGCGTCAAGCGTCTTTGTTAATGTCTTCAACTTCCATGGAGATGGGGTATGAAGTACTTTTGGGACACCTTACTGGATGCTTTTTTTTCCCTCGAATACGCAAAAGAACTGGATGCGGATCTTGAGAGCGATGCACTGGGATGGCAGTACATCACTGGCTCTCTTCCTGATAGCCGATAGCTTGACCGCATTGACAACCCTCAGGTGCGCCTTGCGTGCAACTGTTAACTTCTGAATGAAATGCAGTAATTCAGTGATCAGAAATAGAACTGAATACCATTTAAAAAATAATACTGAATACTGATGCATTTTCATGTTCAATCCGATTCTCCAATGCCGGTTTGAAGGCTACAAGCTCGATCCGCATGGGAAGTATGTGCGACGGTGGATTCCTGAACTTACAAGGCTGCCGACAGAAATTGATACACCACCGACCCATGGGATGCACCTGTTTCCGTGCTGCAAGCGGCAGGAATTGAGTTGGGCTCCAACTAACTACCCCCTCACCATTGTTGAGCTAGACGCAGCCAAACTCAGGCCGCAAGAAGCTCCGTCTGAAATGTGCCAGCTGGAGGCAGCATCATGGGCCTCAATGAACAATGGAATGGAGGAAGGCCTCGGCGACCCATCAGAGGTTCCACCGATTGAGTTTCCTCAAGAATTACAGATGGAAATTCATTGGCAGCCAGTCCAGGCGACGACCAATGTCCCGGTAACTGCTAGGAGGCGCGAGGATCAGATGGTGCCTACCATGACGGCTTCACTGAACAGAGCTGAAACAGAAGTTTCTGCTGATCTGGGGAACGGTGAGGACAGCAGGGCAGAGGTTCCGTCCCAAGCACATTTCGGTCCTCGAGCTGAGAGGGAAGAAATGATCCAAAACACTGAAGACAACGCTTTTGCAACCAACGGCGTTCACCAGCCAGCCCAACATCTTTCAGCAGCCTCAGCACCGTAGGCGAGATGTTGTTGCTCCATCAGTATCAAAGGCTTCGAGTAATTGGACCGGGAGAGAAGGAAAGGAGCATCAGGCCATTCAGAAACTTTTGCTGCTGATGAAGCTGACGTTTCCAGTAGGAGTTATTACTTGGATAGACACCCGCAATCGCACCGACTGATGAACTGGAGTCAATTATCACAATCAGTAAGTTGCGTCGTTGCTGCACTTGCGTTGCACTTTTATTTGCAACTTTTTCATTATTATAATACGCATGCATTAGTACAATGCCGAACGCTTTTGTGTTTCCGTGCAGCGTAAGGCTACAATATTATTGTAAACAAACCTGACGTGATACATGGTCAATGTGAATAACATATCTCTGCCTAATACTAAAGACGCAAAATTTCTGCCAACTAAAATTTCGTCCAGCCCAATCACCAGTGAATCCAAACCTACTTGGACTCGCATTCGGCCCAAACTTACTCGGACTCGCATTCGGCCCACAACTCACTTCTCTCTCTAATCTGTCCACACCGCTGCTTGGCCAGACGCTCGTACTCCGGGTTCGCCGTCCTAGACACCGCCGCCGCCCCTGCTTCCCTCCGTCCGCATGCACCACCGCTTGCCCTAGCCTCCGCAGCGCCGCGTGCTCCCTCCCTCCGCACGTTGTGGCTCCTTTGTTCAGTGGCGAAGTTAGAGAAAATTAGAGGGTGGTGCACTTGTCTTGTGGTGCATAGACTTATGGTGAAATTTTAGAAGAAAAAAAAAACCATTATTTTCATAAATTTTGGGTGATGCATTTGTACCCACTAGCTTGTACCTAGCTTCGCCCCTGCTTTGTTGCCCATGTGCCGCTGCTCCACCCGCCGCAGCGCCGCGTGCTCCCTCCCTCCACACGTTGGCTGATGCCGTGTTTTCCGGAGAAGCCTCTGCCTTCGCCGTGGCCGAGTTCCATGATGCCACGGATGCCTCACCACACGACAAGTTGGAATCGAAACGAAGAACCATCTCGGATTAGAAAACAAACAGAAAAAATCATGTAACCGGCAAGCGGAGCTCATGCCTCGCTGAGTTGCTGGGGGAAAGGAGGCGCTCCACGCTCCACGCTCCACCACCCAGCCCACAGCCGACCCACTGAGCAGACCTCGCTTGTTGGACACGAGCTACCAGGAACCGGCAACGTCGTCCTGCGCTGCGACCCTCAGCTGCATGTGGCCCCGTTTCTTGGCTGGATGGTTTTTTTTAACAAGATTTTTTTTTTGTGTGAACAAGGTTGGCTGGATGGTTACCGTCGAGTTCCACCTTCTTTTGCTGGATCAGAGAAGGAAGTCCCAGAAGGCTAGAACTCGACAACGTTGACCCACAGGGGATTAGGGAAGATGGAGGTGGCAAATGAGGTTGATTGTGACTGGCGCTTCCAGCCTGATGGCGCTCCCGGTCCAATGGAAAGAGGCGAATAGGTTAGGTTGCTTGAGTTTGCAGGACAGAGCTTGGCCACATCTACTGGAGCAACAGAGAGATGGAGAGAGGCGCAGTCGTGAAGAGACTGAGATTACAGTAGTCTACAGGGCTGGATGAGATTTTGGTGTAGCTGAGGACTGGAGAGGAGCAGGAACGCCGAACGCTAGGGGCAGATGATATAGGAATTAGCAGCAGGTTAAGATGACATGAAAGCAGCCAACTACAAAAAAATCTTGTGGGTTCAGATGGCCACCGATGCACCGTCCATCCAGAGTAGTAATTGTATAGTAGACGTAATTCTCAATTTCCAATTAATATACCATTATTATGCCCCTGTCAATTTTTATCTATTTAAATTTTGGGTGACTATATATCTGACGACAGATTTAGCAACAAGAAATCTGTCAAATATTTGACAAATTAAAAGAGGACACGTAGGTCAGAAAAAAACGACAGACGCTATAAAGAAAATTCTGTCAGATTTGCATAACAAGGTTCAATACCAAACAAAAGACGCAAACAAAGACCTGAAACCCGCTATACACAAAATAGTCCAATATTCGGATGATGTCAGATCTGACAGTTATACATCTCTGTTCAAATTTATTCGTCATAAAGAAACTTATAGCAGTTCAAAATAGCAAAGGTGCATAATGGGCCTGTTCGGCTGAAATTATGCTGCTGGCTGCTGCTGAGAGTTTGAGACACAAAACACTTGACCAATACATAGTAGCAATGCCAAGACGGCAAGACGGGCAGCCCAACAGGCCCAACAAGGTTCAAACTCAGTGGTTCAAAATCCATCAGATTTGCATAAAAAGGGTGCAGTCTCTGTTCAAAATAGCCTTTGCCGGTCAGGTTTCTTAGATGAACAATGTAGTAGATTCTCCAGGCTCTCCTCTCAGTGCACGCCATGATGCAGAGTCTGCACGTTCAACAAACAAGCGCCATGAGAGAAAAACTTAGCGGTGTCTGCGTGAGAGAAGCAATCCGCAAACAGGGGCATGCGCACGCGCAGACACACAAATACCTGGAAGACGTGCGGCGTGTGGTCGGTGGCATGGCCGTGGTGATCATGCAGCCTCACCCCGTTCTTCCTCAGCTACTCCCTGACAAACTTGGTCATAGATGAAGGACGCGCCCCTGAACTGCGGCAGGACCAGCCACGCCACCAACAGCGGTTTCGCCTCGTACCACAGCGATATCCTGCGAAGGAAGGATAAGCAATGACCTTCACCTAAAAAAATGCAAAAACCCAAAGAACAGATCAAACGATTGCATAGGATCAACAAGCTGATAACTAAATATCACCAACCTACAAGAAGCAGCATACATGACACATCATGAGACACTGAACATAATGATATCCTCAAGATCACTTAGAAACAAATAAAAGTGACACTTCTATCAGAAAAAATAACAGAAAATTGGAACAAAAGAAGTTCAGCAACTAAAATCCGAACATAAACTGCTGCTCATCCCCCTACCACACCCACACAGACCACAAAAATGGTAAACCTGCTCAAAAACTTACAAAGGAAAAAAGAAAGGGGAAGAACCAAATAAGACACCCGTTCTAGAAATGAAAGCAAATTAATTGACCAAAATCAAACAAAACCAAAGGTAATTAGCTGACAAAAAATCACCATTAAAAAAATCAAATCAACTAAATAGACCATTACAAATATGAACATTATAGCTAAAAACTCAACTACACCTTCTATTGCTCCCTCACGAAAGAAATAGTCACCAAATCAATAACTGAACCAGTCAAATATATAAGTCACAGAAGAGACAAGTAGAAGTTTACCAATCTTCTAAGAGATAATTAGATGACAAAAAAATCAGCATTACAAAAATCAAATCAACTAAATTCACCATTACAACACATCAAATAGTGAACAAGTCAAATATACGTCAAAACATCAATGAACATCCCAGAAAAAACCAAAAGAACATACCAGAACAAAAAAAAAAGTAGAAAAACAGATCTGCACATCAATTGGCTTTGGGTACCTCTATCAGCAACAAACAAAAAAACCTAAAAAGAAACCCAAAAATAACTCAGAAACTAAAAAGAAAGAAAATAAACTTAAAAACACATCATCAACAAAAAAACTTGCATGTAAAGAAAAAACCAGAAAATCAGGTTTGCACATCACACACACAGCAACAAAAAGGCATCAATGGGGATAACAAAAAAGAAAAGGCCCAACAAACCCAATAAACAAATCTCCTGTTAGAGTATTTATTTCCTACCTATACATGCCGCCTCCTCCAGGCTGGCCTGGCCCTTTGGGCTACCCTGTATCCTCTATTTATATGTAACCCTCTTGTAATCTCCTCATTAAGTGAATCTAAGCCTGTTGGCATTCCTCTATCATGGTATCAGACTAATCACGTCTTCGGCCTTTCACCTCCCGCCCACCCCTACGCTTCGCCCCCATCCCCTCATCCCCCACGCCGCCTCGCCTTGACGGTTCTGTGCCGATGGCCCCGATGGCCCCTCCGTTTGCGCGCCCCTCGTGGCTCAACCTCCGGCGCCTCGGCAGCTTCCACCGTGACAAAGCCCTCGCCGCCGCCAAGACGCTGGAAGAGGAGGCCATCTCCTTGCGCATCACCAACTCCGAGCGCAGTCAGCGACTCTAGGAGGAGGCTGACCTTCTCAAGTCAGCCGCCGCTACCCAGGAACGCGTCCATGCCGCCGCCGCCCTCCGTGAGCGTCTTCGCACGGAATCCCTCCGGGACGACGACACCGTGGACGGCGATGACGACCGCTCCGAAGTTGCGGCCATTGCTCATCTGCACAGCCAGGCCGCCGCTGTCCAGAACATCAAGAACTTGATCCCCATCGTTCTTGATCTGCAGTCTTCCAACTACTCCAAGTGGCGCGGCTACGTCCTTCTCATCCTCGGCCGATTCGCTTTGAAGGACCACGTCCTCAGTGACGATTCCCGCTTCGCCGACCCGACATGGTCGCGCATAGACTATGTGGTCGTCTCCTGGCTCTTCAACACCATCTCCTCCGACCTCCTGGACGTCATCCACGAGCGTGACGCATCACTGCTCGGGCGGCCTGGCTCGGGATCGAACAGCAGTTCCTAAACAATCGTGAGTCCCACGCCATGCTTCTCGACGCCGAGTTTCGCACCCTCTCCCAGGGCACCCTCTCCATCGACGATTACTGCCACAAGATGAAGAGTATGGCTGATGCCCTTGCCGATCTTGGCGAGCCCATCACCGACCGTACTCTTGTGCTGAATGTTCTGCGTGGCCTCAACGAGCGCTTCCAATTCATGTCGCAGCTCATCACCCGTCGGCGGCCGTTCCCTTCGTTCTGCTGACGTCCACGCCGACCTACGCCTGGCCGAGCTCAACATGGCGCCTCCCTCGGCTCTCATCGCCTCTTCGTCCAGCAAGCCGCCTGCCTCCTCGTCGACACCTGGGCCTGCATCCCCGCGCCCTCCACAGGCCGTCGGGGGGGTGTCATCTGGCAGCAGCCGTGGCCGGCGTCGTCGCGGCGGCCGTGGCCAAGGCGGTTCGCACAGTGGCCCGCC